GAATGAAGGTGAGACTTGAAACTTTAGTTACATCATATTATTGTACGATACATGTTTTTTATTTCTAGGTTGTATTCTAACCACACATCACGTTACACCTGCATTATTAAAACTCCACTAAGAGATTAGATGCCAATTTAACCACTTTAGTATCTGATCTTGCTCAAAGAAAATATGATTATTTGAACACCAGCATTCTATTAAACGGAATTGCAATACAGAAATGAAATCATGCGAAGCGATCAGGAAAAAGGTCATCAAGTCCTTTGTATTAAATTGATTGTATTTTATTTTGAGAAAAAAATCTGTGGCTTTGTTAAACTCACCAGCACCGCGCACGCACACCCACCCACGCAACCACTGCTGCCCTTCTAATTAATCCTGTGGGACAAATTTAGTTTTTACTGTAAAACCTAGTAAATGAAGTGTGCATAATGATTTTGTTAAATCTTGAATTGCTCTTTTAATTAATTGGCAATTTCCTCAGCATACTGTACTGTCTACTGAAGTGACAATTATTGAGTACCCCTAATGCTTTTCACACTACAGGAAAAAAAAAAAAGAAAAAAAGAAGAAGAATATATAAAAGAAACAACACCCCTCTGTGGGAACTAGCAAAAATAAAAATAAAATCACTGGTTTTAACAGGATGGCAGAGAGGTTAAGAAACTCTCAGTGCTTCATAAATAGATTTTAATGTAAAAAAGCTGACATACACAGCAATACAGCTTTTATATTGTAACATCATGACCTGGTCTCTCTTGACTTGCACAGTTCCTAGAGAAGCATGTTACAGGGATTAAATCCCTTTGAATGTTAATGTGTTCCTCTTTTGAACCACAAAGAATATTAATCCTCTTCCCCCATCTACCAACAGCTGCACTGGTTTTTCCTACTTGACAGAGTGGAACCAGATAGCATAGCACGATTGACCTGAATGTAAATATTGCTATTTGTTTTGAACCGCTTGCTTTTTTGCAGAAATTTAACAAACCTGGCATCAGCTTATCTGCAGCACAAATAAGAGTAAGAATTCAGGCATCTAGAAATCTCTTTCTAAATTATTATATCAGAAGAATTGTAAAAATAATTTAGTACCTTATTAATAAATTAACACACTTTACAATCCCCTCAAACATTTACAGTGACTAGAACAGGAAGTCAGACTGGAATGTTCCCAGAGAAAGGGCATGCATGTGTGTACACAAATACACATGCATATAAAAATATATATATTATGGAAAGGTGAGGGTTAAAGCAAACAGCTACAGTTCAGTTCAGGCATGATTCCAGCATATACATCTAGAATCACACATAAAATCTTTATGAACTAACCTCAACCCTGCACATAACTCTCATTCAACTATTTCCTACACTTTGCAAAAGGACTACAATTTCAACAAAAACATAGGACCAGAATATGCAGGCTGACCGTAAAAGAAATCCACTAAATTTCCATTATCAAAATAAGTATTTTTACATATTTGAAGAGTCCTAAATCAGAACTGCCAGAGTGCTTTTCATTCAGATTTAAATTTATAACTGACTGATAAACCAATACAAAACCCAGTCTTCATACAGGGTCCTTTAGAGTCCCAAACTTTCAAGCCAAGAAACAAATCCCATTATATTCACTATTCTGAATTTTCACAGATGTTTTACAATCTTTTTCACATTTTGACCATCTCTGTTCTTTCAATTATTTAGAAATATTGACCCTGAAGAAACAGACTTAAGTTAATAAGAAACTAGCATGGTTCATGTTCAGAGAAGACATTATGTTGATTAATTAATGTCAGTTCCCAATCCATTAAAAAAATCCTCAAAAGATCCCCATCTTTCTGCCACTGTACTACAATACTGAAGCCTTTGGCATAAATTATTATTTACAATTAATGCGTACTGTGCTGATGCACTTTACAAAAATCATGGTACTATTGAGAATGTCTAGCAATGTTATGCTTCATTTACTTCTGCAGTTCAAAAGCAACCCAACTTGTTAGATAGTGTACTAGCTGGAAGTGATAAGATGGATAAGAGCAAGCATTTCCATATAAACTACAAAAGATCAAACTACAAACTATCATACATGACCTGGCTGATGAACTTCACATGACAATTGCTGTGCACTTTTAGAATAACGACTCTTAACAAAAATCTCTCTCGTATTTCTGATATAAGCTATAATTAAGGACTAAGACTGTAATACTAATCGCAGCTATTTTAAACAGGAACATTTAGGATTCTGTTTATATAAAGACATATTTCTGCACATATATTCTTTTCAATTAATCTTGGATACTTTAACAGAGATAAAATCTTGATTACCTTGCATTTTCCACTGAGGTACCATTAAACCCAAGAACATAAGGGTAACAGTCTGCTACATACACAAAGACTCTTACCCCAGGGTTGAAACAAGGTAATTCAAGGTATCTTGAGTGTGCAGTGGTGGATTTAGAATCTGAGATAAAAATCAGCATGAAGACAGTTATGCAGGATTTGCCATGTAGCACCTTGCTAGCCAGCTGTCCATAAAAAAAATAAAGGACATCCCACAGAAAAAGCATAATTATGGAAAGAGAGGTGCAGTAAGAGAAGTGTAATCTGGACAAGGCAAGCATGAAGGACATGAAAGATGACCACCTTTGGATTCTGAAAGAATTCAAAAGCATTTAAATACCATGCCTGGGTAGAAGACAGATTTTCAGATGATGTGAAAGTTTAAGTCAGAAAATTTAGCATCTAGTTCTACTATAATAAACAGCTGTAGTACTGAAAATATATTTGGTTCTTTATGGCTTACAAAGGTGAACCACATCCTAAGCCCTTACTTTCTAGTAATTAAAATAAGTGAAACAGAAAAGAATGGTGTTTGTGAAACAGTGTTGGTAAGATCATATGAAAGGGCTTTATCCAAAGAGTCTGAGTAAGGAAAAATGAACTAGACTTCATTCTAGCTCTGTGTGTCTGAGAATACTGGATCTAATGTCTGTTAACACTCATCATCCATTCTCTGGTCCTGTGAATTGGACTTAAAAGTAAAATTCAAAGTAAAATTCATCAGAAAGATGAAATGAATGCATTGAATGACCTGACTGCATTTCACACAAGTCTGAAAATTCAGAAATGATGTTAAAACAAATAATTGCCTAAGCACTGCATAGAAGTTAAAAATCATGTTGTTTATGTAGCTATTTTTCATACAGAAGCACAGACAGACTTTGATGTACTCTCAATTCAAGGAAAGAGTGGGTGGAAAGGTGAGAAGAGGAAGAAAAGTGCTTCACATAGCTTAACACTGACCCATTCAAGCAGTTAAGGAGCAGCTTGGAACAGCTCCAAAGGCTAAGGCAGCTTCCTTTCCAGTTTTGCTTGGCCAGATGGAAGACGACCACATTTCAGGATTTCAGGCAGTGCTTAGGCTTGGAATATCTGTTGTGTTACTCCATTTTTAGCTTTAAAAAAATGCCAAAACTTATTAGCTTATTTCAGGTACTGTGTGACTAAAATGTTTTGGGGATAACAACATGTACCATACTGGGGAGGCTGGGGGTGGAGGAGGAAGTGAGAGGGGGGAAAAAAAAAAAAAAAGATGCTAAACAAAAAAGGGAAACAGAATAAAATGGAAGAACTCTTCTCAGAATCTGGCTGATGTAGTAGCACTATCCTACCGTCCATGGAACCCTTCCCCTTTAACTCTCACTTATGTAGACCTTTTATACAGCTGAGTATAATTATTCCATCTCCTTATAAATTAATTAAAAATATGAAAGTATACTGGGCTTTTTTTGTTTCTTTTTTTTTTTTTGATAAAATTCTAGCTGTTTCTCTGTATCAATGCTTCTGTTTATTATCTCTTAAGCTAATACATTTTTCACTACTTCATCTTATACTCATTTATCCGTCAGTCTTTAAACTTCAGTATTATTTATGCACATTACAGGGCTAATGAGATCACAACGCCTTTTAATGAACACCATGAGAAAATCTGTGTGTTACCCAGGTACATCTTTTTACTCAAAACGTGCTATTATTGCTTTCTAGTAGTTAAGGCTAATGCCACTGTATGAATTAATATGATGGAAATGTAATAGATGCTTTCTTTACATTGAAGTGATAGAATCCTATGCTGTCTTTGTTGAAGGTCTCTGGTTCAGTCACCCTTTGTAGTGCTTTCTGTCACAGGTCTGCAACAGAGCTTTTTAAAAATAAATACTAATATTTTTAAATTAATATGTACTATAAAAACAATTCTTTTAAAACTCAGAGAACTGCAGAACAATAAGGAACACTGGAGAACACTGGAGGACAAAACCACAATGGTTAAAAAACTGCTAAAGAAATTAATTTGCCTTGCTCTTTACTAACCAAGTCACCAACAGAAGCTATAATACAATAAAATAGCATACACTGTTGATAGGAGACATTGCTTTATCCTCAAGGGAATTTCTTTTGCAGTTGTCCTCTGGGTTTAATCTTACTGCTGTGGCATCTCTTATTCTTTTTATGAGCTCAGAACCACGGTAGAGCTTAAAAAGCTATCAATGGAAAGAATTAAAATCAGAACGTAAACTGAAATTGTGCACTAATAAGAGGAACACTGAAATACATAACTTGATTTTTTCACACTTTACAGTATTGTTAGATTTTAAGTCATACCATCTGCTTAGTGAAATAACGCTCAATGAAATACCAGTTGTAAGCAGGAAGTCAAAAGCAATTTACAACTCATATAAGGTTTCCTTCCAGGCAGAGAAGAAAGGGACAGCAGAAGAGCTTAAGTTCGAATTGAGAAGGCTAATGTCTTTAAGCCTATGCCTTTCTAGTTCTAGAAGGGCCATACAAGCTAAAAATTTTCCTTTCTTACCCCCATCCATCCTAGATTTCGTTTCTGCTACCAACTTACTTGCTTAGTTCTGATTCAGAAATTCAGACAGCTTTTTTTTCTCAGGTATAATATTGGAAAATACATACTAAAACAGAAGATTTCAACTTACCTGATGAAGATCGTTGCCCAAAACATACTCCTGAAAGTAACCCGGAGCAGCAGATGATGCTCTAATGGCCTGCCACAGTTTGTACTGACAGCCTCCAATATAATGAGACTTAACACCAGGAAAGTGATTGTAGTTTCTGAAAACAAATGCTTTCAGTGGTGTTCCTCTGTTTACAATGGTGCTTACTGCAGCTACCTAGTGAGTTAAGAAAGAACAAGAGTAGTTATATATGATGGTGATTATTAAAATAATAATGATAACCTCCCACAATATGAAATATTAAATACATCTCTGGAATCCTACTTGGTTATTTATTGAATTTTTCATAACGGCTATTAAATTTTAAAAAGTGAAAGTGAAATAAAACATGCTAACCCCCCCCCCCCAATCAAATTCCATACTCGATGATTTGACGGCGGAAAAGTTTCCTGGTTTTGTCAGAAGGAAGGTTTGGTTTTAACACTACCAGAAACAGCAAGAAAAAAAATTTTGGAAAATTTAACAGAAAGCTTATCAAACTAATGCTTGAATTTATTTTTGGTAATTCCTCCACTTCACAAATCAGTCTAAGTTGTAAAGTGCTGAGCACCTTCTGGAAAAATCCATGTCTCCATGAATTTAACAGCAGCAGAGCACACAACTGCATGTTTTATTTTCATTTTGCTGTGCCTTGTGAAAAGTGCCAGCACTGCCAGCACTACAAAGCAATTACTGGGAATAGCTAGTTTCAACTCTATTTATATTCACATTTTATTACTGAAGAACATGGAAGGAAGCCAAAGATCCTGGTTCAAAGATAACTTTCAAGTCAACGTAGGACAGCTTCTCTCTCAGAAAGCAACATACCACTCCAGCCTTTTCATGTCCTTGTTTTAGACACGGACTAGGAACGCAGTCAGTCAAGCGCATGTTTCTATGTTTAGAAAAATGTGAATATCTTCCATTTAACAGTAAAGCATTGAATATAGTGCTATGACACCAAAACACCTGTTAATTACAGATTGTTCTGAAATATGTGCTATTATATTTCTCTTTCTTCACACCCTATCCTTTACCAAAAATAAAATACCCTTGCTTTCTCATCTTTCACTCTCGTGCTGCTGCTGTATATAACACCCCTCCAATTAATTGGTGCCCTTTAGATCATACAGGAAAAATAGAGATCTTGGGACTGGTGAACGCGACTGGAGAAAACTTGGTAATCCAGATAAACTGAGGAGAAACCCTGTTCTCTCACAACACAATAATACAGATCACAGCTGACGTGACAGGACCTCCAGACACTAGAATTCTCTTACATAAAAAAACCAAACTTTGCACAACTTCAAGAAGTTGACCTACTATTTCTCTGCTTATAAGCCTTTCAGCATCTCTGAAACACATTCTAATTTCAAGCATTAAATAAAAATATAAGAAATTGCCACAAAAAATTAAGAATATAATGAATTTCTATCCCATAAAAGCATGGATTATCTCATATGGAAGCTTGGAGAGTACTCACGCTGTTTATCAAAATTTCTTCTAGGGACAGTACTCTTACTCAGAACTCTTAATAAGTACTTGTGGGAGCATAATTAGTATTTACCTTCAAAAAAATGTACTTACCTTTGGACATTTGGAATTTCTTGCAGTTTCAATCATAAGATTTGAGCCCATTTTTTCTCTACAAATAAGTGTAAAAAATTGAAAATGCTCCATCAGTTTAGCATGCACAAGACACATTTTTATTATCCTTACTTCTGAGAACTTTGCATTTAAAAGAAGCAATAGTTGGATTTCACTTTAATAATCTGATTTCTTTGGTTGACTTCAATAGACCAATATTTCAAATAAGTCTGAAGAGTTCTCAACTCAGTTACTCACCTCACCACATACTTAACCATAAGTCATCAGGGTTACCCAACTACTTTGTGAGAGCAAAGCAAAGGACTTAGTTTTTTAATTCTTAAATGTAGCAATATCTTTATTAAGTGGTTTTATAATAATTAAAGGTACTCTCCTGAATTATTATGAAAACAAAAGCAAAGACAGACAATAGTCTACATGATTTAGAAGAAAGTTAAAACAACTACATGTAATTTTCCATAACAATAATTCAATATGCATTTAACATCTCTTTTTCAGGTGGAATTTTTTCACACTGATACTTTCTTATAAATATGAGAGTGAAATCACACCAGTGGTCAGCATTGTAATTTATCATCACATCAGCATCAGGGTCAGTATTCTAATTGCCAACTAGAAGGTAGCCCTCCTGCATAGTGCAGGAGACTGGAGGAGATCAGCATACTAGCCAATAATCTCATATCAGCATCTATTTCCACTTTGATTTGCTTACAGAAAAGGCACAAAACTCTACAAAGCAGATGCTTATCCATAACGATTCCAAACAGATTTTCATTCAAATCAGCAAGTTCTCCCTTTCTTCAAACAGAGCCCACACAAACACAGGTTGCACAACTACCTTAGTCTGCAAAGATGGTTTTCAGTATTGCCACGCTTTTTAAGTAAGGTGACTCCATGTGTTGCTGTTAAGAGATCATCCATCTATAGCTCGCGCTACTGCGACAGTAGGTAGCAGTGCTCCCACTGCTAAAAACAACACCTTTATCAATCTATTCAGGTCAGAAGATAAAAGCTTTAAATGCCACAATAGCAGCAATCCTCAAAGTAGGCAGTAAACTGTATTTGGAGGTAGAACAACTTACTGTTCCACTAGTGGATATCTGTGCTTGAAGGATGGCTGCGTATGTGTCCTTGAGTGAACGAAGGGGGACAGCTTCTAGTCCTATTATCAAACACTGCTGTTCACACAATTCTTATAGCAATAGCGCTGTTCTATTTTACTTTTTCCAATAACCGCATTAATTCCAGACTCACAGTCATCAACCAGGAGGGGAAGAGTGCCATCTACACTCACTAATTTATTACGGAAGGAGATGAAGGCACACAAACCCATGAAGCAGCAACATTCAGAAACAAGATGAGACTGACAGAGGGGAGATATGAAAGACATCTACTGATTTGCATCACTTTCATCTACTTCTTCCTAAATATCTGTATTAGATATTTTTTCCCCAAACCCTGAATACTAAAAAGCTGCATATGCAATATCCACTGCTTAATGATAGGAATGGTCAAACTGAATAATTATTTTCTCACATCCTATTTCTTATGAGGGCCAGGAACTGATGCTTCTCAGCAGGTACAAGAAATCCCTTACACTACTATGCAACTTTAGACATTAGGGTCTAAAGATAAATTCAAATTTATTTTAGCTTTGTTGCTAGCATTAATAGTGTAATTGTGTATTATATAAATGCCTTTGTCAAGCCTCACAAATTGTTCAATTATTTTCTCTACTGAAGTCACAACATAATTAATTCCAGTTTATTCACATACTGTGTTGAAAGAGAAAAATCTCCTAATTTTAATTTTATTGAATAGTCCCTTGTTCTTGAAGAAGAGATGAGAACGGTAATTCTCAAGAAATCTTACTGTCTCAAATTACTGCTTTAACTTGTTTTCTTTTCTTAATGATAAAGAGTCCCAGTTCCTTTGTGTGAGTTATCTTTAGGTCACTGGCTACTTTTTACCAATCTTGCAACAGAGACATTCTCTAAAATGCGGTAACTGGGACTGTAAACAGTATTTTAAATGAAACTGAAAATACAGGAAATATTAAAATACTGTTACATTAATCCACAATACAATCTCAGCCATCACACACTGCATCATCTTGTTTGTCCACAAGCATACAGATGTTTCACTAAACTGTCCATGACAACACCTGAATAACTTATGATGTTAGTTTAAATCCTGTTAAGTATTTTACATTTTTCCACTCATGGGTTATTACTTTACACATAATTTCATTTGTGATCCCATTTTTCCATTTATCTGCTTTGTTTGTGTCTGTCTATGACCTGTGTCCTCTACACATGACACACCTAAACAAGCCTCCTTTACAAATGTTGCTCTTCCACTGGTTTGAACCACTAATATCGCAACACTTATTTCAATAATGCTATGAAGAAAGTATTGCCAACCCTAAGGCTTAAAGAAACATTCTAATGGGCTACAGCCAGGGTACAACCAAACAGTCTGGAGAAAAAACATTCAATTTGAAAGGCAAAATTGTAACTTTTACCTCTTCTGACAACAACAACAGCACAAGGAAACCATGACTATTTACCAAACATACAGGAGAGGCGTATTATTGCATGTTCCATAAAGATACAGAACATCTCACTGATAATGCTGCAGGATCTGTTAAGTATGTCTGGAGTGACTAACTGGAACAGAATGTGTTGCCCATCTAGTCACTAGGGAGCAGTCTCAATTTATACTTCAATTTGCCTAAGAAATACTGGTTTGAAGTATTATTACTTGTAATCCCAAACACACGCATTATCCATTTTCCTACCAACAGAGAACATGTAACTTTCACCCCATCCCCTATACAATGCTTGATTACTTCTTGAGATTACAAATTCCCAGTATGGGATTTTAGTTAGCTTGTGAAAACCTCCAGCTGCTCACCAAATTTCTCCTGTAGTTTCTCAGGACAGTGTGAAAGAAGAAAATTGTGTATGTAAACAACAGTCAAAAGAACACAAAACTATAAACCAGTTTCTTCTTACAAATGCAATTCAATGTAGCATTACATACAATGACACACAGTAACTATAATTTTCTGCACAAAGTAATGAAAATAACTGATTGAAATCAGTCCTCAAATTGTAATTCAAAGAATACATAAGAAGAGTTAAAATAAACATGTATGTAAGACACAAAATCAATTCCCTAGAGCACCCAAAATCAAAATCTAGTTAACCAAAATCAGTTATCATTTTCTGAAATGGAATTAATTATATGCCTCATGAATGCATGCTACATTAGCCTAATGCAACATTAGCTTAATTATTTTCAGCAAGAATACTTTCTGACAGAAAATAATACCATCAATATTGTATTAAGGCTAAATGTATATTGCATGCCTGTATAGGGTAAATGGATACTCTCTATTTCAAGCAAGACTGACAAGTCTACTACCATTTAAGCCTTTAAATTTAAAGCAAAACATGAAGCAGTTTTCCCATGCAATGACAGAAAGTTAGACATGACCTTCTCATTGCCATAGAGAGATGCTATATAACCTTTAAATTCCCTTCTTAGTTCTAACCACACCACAAGGAAACCTGCAGGAATCCCTACAGTTTCAATAAAATGTGTAGACATAGCATCTCCCTCCAATACTGCAGAATCGGGTCGACAAAAAGTCAGTTGTTGATTAGTAAATTTAGTTTTTAATTTAATCTATGGATAACATAATAATTGCCTGGCTTCTGTCCACTGCACAGGAGTAGAATGCTTTACCTCCCTCATGTTACATGTCGTCACAAAGAATAATAGCTTTTAATCAGAGGCATGTAAAATACTTTCACATGAGGCAATTCTGACTTTCACAAGACTTCTTTTAGCTAAGCAGGGGAGGAAAAGAGGGAAGGCAGAGAAAAATATCTTTTTTAACAAAGAGGAACTCCAGATATCTGAGAGGAGAAACTTGTGATGTTCATTTGATAAACACACTTACTCCTAAAAATACGCCCGAGCACAGAGAAGAAGTGCTTGGAAGCCTCTCTCTCCACTTCAGCAAAGAAGTGAGATGCTTAAAAATCAGACAGCACAGGTATTCCCACTACAGTGTCCAGAAAAAACTCTTTGAATCCCATAAAACACATGAATCATGTTCCCAAAGGAACTTTAGTTACTTATCCAAAGCAGCTTTTTATCATTTTACACTTTGTCTCAGGGAAGGCTGGTTCAGTTCTTTCAGTAGCAGTGCCAGCTTACTGTTTGGGAAACTATGACATTAGTTTGCTAAGTCTATAAACAATGGAACTGTCAGTACAAATACAATAAATAAAACTAAGTAATAAAGCTTGTAATAAATATTAATTTCTTCCAATGACTTTTCCTGAATAGCCACTAATGCATTTGTATACATATCTACGAAAAAATACCATTTCATTGGCAACTCTGACACTGCTGATATTTTTTAATTGCAATCCTTACAGCTCATTTCCCTTTTCAAACAAAGGGGCAATAGGTAAAATCCCTCAATACAGCAGCTAAGATGAAAAATTCCTACTACAGCAGATTATTTCATTTCTCACCATGTCGCCTATAAGAAAAAAAGGCACAGCAGGTGGCTAGTAAAATTTGTAGCAGATCTATAATGAGTCAGATCAGGCAGAGCTGGCAAGCATACAGAAATATAATCAGAAATCAGTGCACTAAGGCTTACTTTATTCCCCAGAAACAGAAATCATTACATTAAAGGCTTTCAATGTTTTGGTAAAACAGTTATTTCAAAAGAATGAGAGTGTATGCTAATCCTTTCTACTTGTTTTAAGAACTTGCTTACCAGTGAAACAATAACAAAACTAAAGGCTCTCAGACATTATCGTAATTATTTTTCACCTGATCATTTTTTACTTACTTGAGCATTTTTTCCCAGACATCACTGTCATAAAAGGCATGGCTCCAACCCATTTTGACTGTTCCAACAATGACATTCTGCTTAAAAACATCTGATCCTAACTTGCGATACAGTTCTTCACAATCATCCAGAGGGATATGGAACAACCCCAACATAAAAGCTAATATAGCTCCTGAAAAAGAAATATTTTGAAATGTAAAATACAGCCTGGAGTAAGATTGTAAAGAAGTCTTACCACTTAATGTAGTTCATAGGTCAGCAGGATTCTTATCTTGAAAAGGGCAGATCAATTTACATTTATGTCACTAAATTCCTGATCAAAGATCACAAACTGTGTTTTAAAGGACATACACAAGATAGGAAGAGTCTACTTTAAAAAACAGAACTATAAGGAGTTGACAAATGGCATTACTTCATTTTGCAGATTTCATCCCTGCAAGCATGTGTACGGCAGAAAGCAAATCCACTGTGTTATTTGGAAAGAGTAAAAGAAATCAGTGCTGTAGGATTAAAAAATATATTTGGAGCATTACTTGCTGTCTGGCAAACTCCGAACCACTAAAGAAAAATTCTAGGAAAATTCTGTAAAAAGAAGGCAGTTTTGACTAGTTTGGAATACATTTGGTTCCAACCATTTATAATTAGTCATTCATACATACTGCCATCTAGTGTGTGCCTAAAAAACACATTTATGACTTACCCTTGTAGGAATAAAACAACATTATCTAAAAAGCATGGTTGCAGAATACCACTAAAAAGACTGTGCCTTTAAACGAGACCTAACTTCCAAGCTTCTTTTGCTCTCACATCACTCACCACCAAGTGTTAGTGGATTGTTGGTCCCCATTTTTAAAAATGTAGCACACATGCTTAATATAACCTGGGCCTACCTGAGACATCAAAGTTTCATCAAGAGGAACTTACTCAAACTGCCAAATCACCGAATGCCTATATTTGACACAGACTAAACATCTAGCAGCAGAGAAACATTATTTTCCTGAATCATGCAAATCCTATGCTACCTCCTTTTCCTCTTAACTCTCCAGCACTGATTTTAGAATATCACACATTTTCTACTTTGGTGCACAGTTTCAAAGCCAAAGAGCTAAAATTCATACCAAATGCAAAGCTCATTTTCACTTCACCTCCTGAGAAACAGCACCAAGAACTGCAGTGCACATCAGCACACAAGTGGCAGCAGTTAGTATCAGACTCAAGGTACACATTAAAAGGTTTTGCTGAAACCTCCTAGATGGGAATCAGACACTCACAGGAGAGTAAAGTCAAAATCAAAGATATAGTGCAGACTCTGTCAGACCGTCACACCGTCCTCTGTCAGACTGTCCAGTGGAAAAGGTTTCTGATGCTTTCATCACATCCTGCTCTGTATCACAAACTTCTACACTCCAGCCACCATCTCACCATTTCAACCAGGCCAACACTTCAGGGGGAAAAAATAAAAACTACCTAAATAGAACCCATGAGGCTAAGGAGCATATCTTGAAGAACATAAGAATACAACATGATAGACACAAATATAACCTGAAAGACAGAAGTATTCCTTCTTTATTTGGTACTAGGAAGACTTCAGCTGAAGTGCTATATGTGTACCTGAATAACATTCTTCAAAAAAGATGTAGACCAATTGGAAAAACATAAGGAACAAACAAAAAAGTCCACAAAAAAACTCCCCAAAAAACAATCACAGGTTGAGGAAATCAGTCTGTAACAAGGCCCGAGTAAACAGGCCACGACAAAAGCTTTTAAATACACAGAAGGCTGCTGCAAAGAGAGAAGAAAGCATCCATTATCCATGTTGCTGGGGAGTCAGGACAAGAGGAAACAAATTTGGACTGCAGTAGAAAATCCATGTTACACAGTTTTATTTTTTTTTCCCCCAAATGTAAAGACAGCAGAACAGTAGTACAAATTTTCTGAAGAGGTCTGACATGATTAAAAATCTTAGAAAATTGTCAATAGTGAAACACACACAGCTGATCCTTGCCTTGGGAAATGGGATAACCTCCTAAAGACGCTTCCAGCTGTGTAACAGTGTGTCTTGACTTAAATCATCAGTTCTCCTGAAAAAAATACTTCTTCCATCAGAAAGGTTTTTAAAATGCATTTCAAAACTGTAAAGACATCATGGGCAAAAAGAAAATAAATCATCAACACAGAGTAATGCCAGCTTTGTTTAAGGAGGCTCCTCATCTGCAAATCACTGAAGGCTGGAAGGATACATGGGGGCACTAGCCCTGCGCTGTTCTTAACAACTTGGGAGGAATATATTAGGACAATATCCTTATGTGAAGTCCTTATACAAACTTCACATAGATCCAAAGCTGACGATCAAAGAGACCAGTACAATTCAGATGTCTTTGTAGTAAAATGCACTGGAAAACAATATGCTTAAAGAATCTTTGATCAAAGTATGTAAGTGATCGAATCCCTCATGTGATACATCTGAATGCCACTTTGTATTAAATCGATACAGAAATTTAGGAAAAAAGTGTATTTCAAAAATCCTTGAAGCAGGCCAGCACATTTGAAAACGTGGTAATACACACTTTGCCTGATTACATACTCTTGACATTATAAACTGCTTCATGTGACTGAACTGTAGGTACATCACTACTGAGAAGTATCTTTGATATATTGGGAGATTGCATGAGTGGTGAAAAGAACATACAAGCCACATCCACAGCACACCAGCAGGTAAGTTGCCCTCAATGGGTTAAGTGCTCTATGCATCTATAAATCATGTCATTCTCTGGAGAACAGTGATAATTACTCTCACTTAGAGAATTCCCAGGAGTTTAGTTCATGGGGCAAAGATATTTCCTCCTCTCAACTGCCTTGTTTTCATCTCTACAGGCACAAACTCAGTACAGAATTTACATTAACATAGCTCCCCATCAAAAAAATTTCAGTGGCCATTGTGTGTGCTTTCACATTTTCTGGTGCTTCCACGCCCAGAGATTATGCTCAGCAATAGACAGATGACCTAAATAGGCAGGGCCCATTACACCATCCTTATAGTGACCTTTCTCTGCAACTGTCTGCTTTTACACCCTATGACCACCAAGGAGTGAAGTACAGGGAACGTAACTACAAAGATAGACTATCATGCTGAATTCACAGAAAAGTGATTATTTCTAAACAAATGCAAAACAGCTAAATGATAACAAGAGATAACATGCACAGCGCAAAAATAAAAAAAGAACTGTAATGCACCATCCTTCCTTTCATATAACACATCATTCTTTAAAGCCCAATTCATCCTGCTGCAAGCGTCTGCAAATTCTATTGATGCACATACCATCAACACAAACTGGAACTGTGAAGTATAACCTCTCCTAGCCATGTCCTGCCACCTATTATTGCAAGCTGGATTACCACAGACAAATGCATGACAGTGCAAACAAAGTTTAAAATAACATGTTAAATAATTACTAGCAGTACAAAACCCAAAACGTGGTGAAGAATTAAGAACAAAGTGAGTTCTAATCAGAGTAGTGGGATTGAATTAAGAACATCAGGCCTCTCTGCCAAAGGTAAAATGTCTTTATCATGATTGAAGGAGACATTAAAGAAGTGTTTGGTTAGAGAAACTCTGTTCCAAAGAAACCACCACTGACTACTAAACTAATTAGCAAAGGATTTCTTTTTCAAAGTATTGAAAATGTAAAGCAGGGATCTATATTGTGCCTACAAATAAATTCTGTCTAGCATACCTAAACATTCTCCTCTTCTCTACTATTCTGAGCCTATTAAGCAAATCTCTGGAAACACAAATATTGTATCTAGTCATGGTGATCTGCATGTAATGTTACTTCTGAATTAAACTGCACGGAAGATGAGTATAGTGCAAAAAATTGAAGATTTTGGGGTTCTAAAGAAACTGAGCTATTGAACTACAGCACAACTCTTATGTTAGAAATCATCATTATGCTGCTACTGGTCTAGCATCATTTCCAAAAGAGATGACTGTCTTAAAAGGAAACCTATGCTTTAGAGTTTCCTACTTCCTAGGGAGGAAGTAGTTTCATTGAGTCACAAAGCAATTAAGGCTGGGAGGTCATATAGTCCAACCTCCTGGTGAAACACATTCAAGTAGAACAGGTTACTCATGACTTGTTCAGCTGAGTTTTGACTATCTCCAGGGATAGAGATTCCACAATACGTGTAGGCAACTCCTTCCAGTGACTGACCATCCTTGCAAGAAAAACACAATTTGGCATAAGGAATCATAACTTCCCATACTCCAACTTCTCTGTTGACTTTTCTGCTATCACTGTGCATCTTCAGGAAGAGCCTGGCTTCATCTCGTCTGTATTTTCCCATTAGTTGAAACAGCAATAAGGCCTCCCCTTAGCCTTCTCTTCTTAAGGCTGAATAAACCCAGTTCTTGTACTCTCCCCTTTTTGTCATGATCTCCAGTCCCCTGATCATCTACCTGGCCCTCTGAGTATGTACAAGAACATACCCAACAGATTAAGGGTCTGCTGAGGAGCCTAAAACTAGACATACAGTGCCCAAATAGAGACGCTTAATCTATTGGGTATGTTCTTGTGCATACAAACCAACACGTGGTCAGCTTTCTTTGCTGCGAGGGTACACCGATGATTCATGTTTAACTTGTTCCAACAGGACCAGGGATTTTTCTGTAAAGCTGGTTTCTAGCCCCATCAGCCCACCTCAGATGGAGGGCTTGGTACCTGGCTTTACTGAAACTCAGGTGGTTCCTGTAAAGCCATTTTTCCAGCCCGCACAGGCCAATCTGAACAGAGGGCATCACTGCACTGACCACTTCCTCTAATTTAGTATCATCCAGTATCTTGCTACAGGCACACTCTGTCACACTGTGCAAGTCACCAGTAAAGACAGGAAACACCGCTGACCCAGTATTATCCCTGAGGGACATCATCTTAGTTGTCTGTAAAGCCCCATAAACATCTAAGATACTTGGATCTATGTGCAAAAAGAAGGTTTCACGTTTGTTGAAAAAAAATGACAACTCTGTTTGAAGTTACAAGCATATCAAGAATCACCTAAAGTTCTTATTCAGAAGGCAAAAAAAAGACTTTAGAAATCACACCTGTACTTTCCCAGCTTACACTGGGAAACCGTCAACTTCTGCAAAATCTACATTTATTCTCAGATGTTCTTTTACTATATTGATAGCAAAATTCCAATGTGTGGCTTAATTACCTGTGCTTACACCACAAATGTAGTCAAAAAGTTGATGAACCGGCTTTCCAGTTAGTTCTTCTAGTTTCCGTAGAGTCTGAAGTGCAACTAAACCCCTGAAACACAAAAAAAGCCCTTCAAATACAATGGTAGTTTCATTTTACATAGCTGTAATTAAGCCCACCTTTGCTTAATTATAACTAACTATAACGGAATAACTACAACAGTAAGAATCCTGAATATTTCAGGGAATGAAAGAGTAGCAGAACACAATTAAAATGGAATGAAGAATACTAAATATGAACTGCATACTCAGGCATACCAAAAATAGTATTCAACATCTACAGCCATATTGTTTTGTAGCCATACTGTTCTGCAGCAAAGGCTCAATTATGATCATCTGTAGATTCAGACTCAGGAGAGGTTTTAGCTGCGTTTGCACCATAAAGCACCCAAAGTCTGGTCTTAACAGGGTCTTACAATGCCCCTTGGGACATAGTATTTTTCTGTTTGGCTTTTTTGGCCTCAATTCATGTCTCTCAATTCTATTAGTAATTTCATGTCTGAAATAATAGGAGAGATACATTCCAGACCATCAGACTTGTGCTTCTATAGCATGCAACAGAAAAGGTGCTAACTGTGGTAGGCTAGAGCTAGAGAACTGCGTATGGCAAAAGGAGCACCAAACCAAGTCCTATCTTGCCAACACATTCTGGTGAGAATGGCATCTCCTGCATGCTGCCCCCAGATCTGTCCTGGCTTATGCTGAAGAGCACTAATCAACCCAACTATAACCAGCTGAACACCACCAATTAGGTGGCACAGCACACAGGAGTCACTATTCAGGCTCACATGTTTCATTTAGTGTTACAGATGTAGATATTGCTTTCTGAAGATAATGTGCCTCATAATGTCACTCTTCTAGAAAGCCAACAAAAAAATTAACATACTTTATTTATACATACAGTATCCTTCTTTCTACTTTGTAATTTTTTTTATGTTTTACAATGAACTTTTGGAAGCACAGATGTTGAAGTTGTGACATACGCTTACTCCTTACTGAAGACAACTGATTTTGATGCAAGTAAAGAAATACTATGGGGAAACAAGAAGTTCACAAAACAGTATTTCTGCAATGACTTCACACTTTCTATGAATAAAGATTTGTGAATCAGTAAATATTTGCCAACAAGATTTTTTCAAATATGCCTGAAAACACAGCTTTTAGTAAACATCAGGCTTTAAATTTAATGAATATGCTTCTGCTACTACTCTTTACAAACTGTGGTAGGTGCATAAATTGACGCAGAACTAGAGCACATGTAACTAAGGACATGTGGTGCATAAATTTAAAAAAAAATAAAAAAGTGTTAGCTGTAGAAGAAATATAAATCAACAGCATGGCTAGAATAGCTTTCACCACTAACCTATTCATTCTTTCATCCGAGACCAGTCCTGCTAAGGCAGGTTACCCTCCAAACAAGTACAAGAACATTCCTTGTATTATGAAGTCACCACAATCATAAGAGCATAAACGACTTCTAGCATTTCACATCAGTTTTGTGTTTTGGAGATTAGAATTGTGAGCAGACTAACTCAAACAACCATTAAATTTATTTCCAGAAGGAGAATGAGCTAATCCAAGCACTTAAGCATATAGCCAACTTTAAATGGGTAATTTCAGTGTCATGGGACTACTAATGCATGGAAAATTAAGCACAAATGCATACAAAAATAACATCCATTACTTGGATAGTCAAATGTAACAGAACTGTAAATCATAAATTGCATCTTTGAGCACAAACTTATCAAAGAGAAACTGAATATTTATTTCCAGTTACAGTATGAAAAATGCTACTATATATAAAAACTATATAGAAAAAAAGAAGTTTCACCTTGTTCCGCCTCCATCAATAGTGAGAACTCGAATTCCCCAGCCTTTCACAGGGTCTGTATATCCAATTATGGCTAAAGTCTCTCTAACAGCAGCCTGAAGACTTTCGTCATTTGCCTGTCTCAGTCGCAGCAGGCACGGGATTAATTTTTCCTATTGATAAATACAAAGATATTTCATTCTAACTATCAAGGCTTAAACCTACTAGTTTGGCATTTAAGTATAAAAATAATACATCAGTTAAAATCAGAGGAAAACTTCTTTAGATCTCTATGTACCCATCTCTCTTTCTAACAAGAGAAGGAAAGGACTCCAATATTACGTCAGACACACCTCACTGCTAAAGTAACTACCTATCAGAATTAAACAATCAAGGTGAAATGTAAATCTGTCAAATAGCTAGAAAAAGCTATATTTACCAGCAGTTCAGTTTTATTGACTTTAACGTCACACTGGTCAATTATAAACTCAAGTATGGTGCACACCAAGTATAGCTAAAAGCCCAGATTTCACTGAAGAGCATCATGCTCCTTCAAAACAGGAAATGCTTTCTAAGTGCACTAATATTAAAACAAAACAAAAATTAAAATTCTTCCTCACACTGAGTAACTTTTAAATGTCAATTATTATGACAAAGATATAGACTATTATAACCAAAATGGGAGAACTGAAGGTACTCTTTCATAACAAAGTAACTCACATCTATTCCTGTGGATGCCCCACCTGTACCCTGCTTGGATGATTCATCTGGTTTGTACTTCATTCCCAAAGATCTCCTTTACAGCAATTCTACAATCTATGTCACACATCTGCCACATCTTTCAGTAAATGACATGGGACTGGCAAATGCTGTGATCTGGCCAGCACTGCTCGAATAGTCTATCACCCACCTCCTGTCCTCTCACGGCAGGAAAGAGATTGAGCAGGACTAGATTATAGGAACTTATTTGATGGTTATGCTCTGCTCTTGCCATCTCTCTTCAAAGGAAGCATGCAAACAAGCATAAAAACTGTTGTGCATATGCAGATCAACTGTACATTCCTGTTTGGTCAACTGTGACAGAGGACACAGTGTACGACCTTTAGCTACCACTAGAATAAGCTATACTATCTATCCACATGACAATGCTGTGTGCTTCTAAATTAAACGTTGCAATCTGAAGAGCCTTCAGCTAAACTACCGATAGTTTAAATACAAGTCTGCTTGAACCAGCTAAAAAATAGCTATAGACTTTCACATCGTAATCTTTACAAACAAAAAATACGACTAGCCCACAAAAGCACAGAGAAAGTTTTATGTTATTCTACATTGATTGTCTGTCAGCTATTTATTTTTTGTCTAAGCATAAAGACTATTTGCACCTTAATTGCAACTCCTCTGCTCTCTGGAAATTCTAGAAGATGATAGGTCAGTTCTTCAACCCTGCTGATACAGACTCTTCGATTAGAGGATCTTCGTAGGGCTTGAACTAAAGCTCGAGTCCTGTTATCAATACTCACTCTTGCAATAATCTAAAAAAAGATAAAGTCATACAGATAGCGTAAAACAGCTCTAAGAAATGAGCACAATTTGTCAAGACCAATTCCACACTGTTATTTTAAGATTTCTCAGAAGTAATGGACAGCATGTTGTACTCGAGATCTTCTACAGGCTCCAAGTAAGCATTGCTTAAACGTAAACAAGCAACCTTTTAATTCTTTGTTTACTGGAAAAATAAATAAGGAAGGTTCACAGCAACAATACATGACAAAAACATGTGTCAGCATGTACTCAGAGGTATTTTCAGGGCAACTGTGAAATCATCGCATTTGGACTATGAAGAAGTGTAAGATTGCTGTAACTACAACAACACAAAACCAACTAGTTTATCTATATTTATGTACTCTCTGCATATATATAAACTAAATATATGCATATAGTATACATACACATACTATATACTTTATATATAAACTTACATATAGATGTCTGTACTCATATTGAAAGTATATACACATTTTTATATATGTATACATACATTTATATATGTATTTATAAGTACAGACATCTATATGTAAGTTTACATTTTACATGCAGTATCAGTATACATTTATATAGGTTTTATGTGTATATACTATATATAAGTACATACGTACATATACATATAAATAAATGTATGTACATATATATGTACTCATATGTATGTAAACAGATACATCTGTATATATTTATTTATGTAAGTATGTGTAACTTATTGCAGCCTTTCAGTACTTAAAGGGCACTTGTAAGAAAGATGGGGACAAACTTTCCAGCAGGGCCTGCTGCAATAGAAAAGGGGCAATGGTTTTAAACTAAAAGAGGAAAGATTTAGACTAGATAGAAGGAAGAAACTTTTTATGATGAGAGTGGTGAAACATTGGAACAGGCTGCCCAGAGCAGTGCTGGATGTGCCATTCCTGGAAACATTTACGGTCAGCTTGGATGGGGCTCCAAGCAACCTGATCTAGCTGAAGATGTCCCTGCTCATTGCAGGGGAGGTTGGACTAGATGACCTTTAAAGGTCTCTTCCAACCCAAACTATTCTGATATGTAAGTTTACATATAGGTATATAAACATGCATGTGTGTATAAATGCACTTGTATAAAATACACATACACATAGAAACAATAAAGACTTGCCTTTTCCCTCTGAAGAGACAGATGCCTTTCTCTCTCTTCTGCAGTCTTCACCTCTTTTGCTTTGTCCTCCTCATCCTTCTCAGACACCTCTTGTTCTGGCTGTTTACTCTTTTCTTGTGAAACAGCTTTTGTATCAGATCTTAACTTGGGAACCAACCCACCGATGTAACTGTCCACAAAAGCTTGTACACTGTTACTGGGATATGAAAGAAAGTTTGCAATACTTTTTTTGGTGGAAACTGGAAGAGAAGGATTTGTCTTTACAGCACCTGGAGTCTCTGCTTCAGGAGCTAAAGTAGCTCCCGAATCCACTGTCTTTTCTTCACTCATTACAGTATTTTTTGACAAATCAAGCTTATTCCTCTCTTCGCTTTTAGAGTCCTGAAATAAAGCATTCTTTTTCTCTTGATCCATAACAGAAATATTGTTAAAGTACCAGTTGACGTGATCAGCTACAAAGTTGTAAGTCTGTCCAAAATTTGTAGAAAAGTAGCTTATATGAAAAAGGTGGGTTTTAGTAGATGCTGAATCTTCTGAAGTATCTTGATCACTGTCACTTGAGCTTCCTAACATAGACTCTGAGTTCTCCTTTGCACACGTGGATTTCTTTGCTGCTGGGCCTCTGTTGCAATCCTCCTGTGTTCTGGCATCTGTGATTTGTTTAGCATTTTCTAGATTTGCATTGATGTTATTTGCATCTGCATTGCTTTTATTTGTTTTTCCCAGACTACCCGAGTGTGACTTTAATCGAGCTATCCGTGAAACCAGTTCACTGTGAGTGCCAGACACTGCCTTTGAAACAGAGTCTATAGTATTCTTAATTCGTGACATGCGATTGTTCACTTTTGTAAGTCCTTTGGAAGAAGTTAAAAGTTGAGAAACTCTGTAGTATAAATAATCATGGCTGTAAATGTATTTGTTATACCAAAATGTTCTGCTTCTGGCCCATTTACACCGAGGCTCGCTTGTATGAAAAACTCTGGGGTGAATGGCATGATTTATCCTCCAGCACACTTTAGGTCTATACAAGTACAAGTATTTGTTTCTTTGCTTCCACCAAAGGCCTTTTGGGTTAATCACAAAAACCAAATACGCGTCTAAAGATAAATGAACTGTCATTACTTATAAATAGTTACACTTTTCCTATGTTGCTTGTCTACTTCATTCCAGAACATATATTTCAATAAATAAGTCTCATATCACGGTGTTGTCTGAAAAAGAAAAAAAAAACAAAACACAACCCAACAATAGAAACCCAAAACCACTAACAAGCTGAACTAAAATCACAGAGTTGCTTCAAGCAGATGCAGCTTACTTGTTGCTTCAGTAAAGATAAACATTCAAATTGAACAATCTCATGGGAATATCTATTGCTCAGGACATTTGGTAATGTTATCGCAACATTTTAATTTCAACATGTTATTCCCTAAAGGCCAGTTTAAGTCCACCTTGAGCAATGCAGAACGCTTGTTGAAAGCACTTACTGAAATACATAAAACTGCTTCCTAGTCTTTACAATAGAGAAAAATATGAATCTCTTCAGATCTTGTGCAGAGGCCAAATTTCAAATCAAACTGTCATTACATTACCACCCCTTTGCACAATTTCTCCCAGGGGAGAAAGGGCACCAACTCTTTGAGCAAAGCTTCAGTACGAAGTCACAAGTTCAACACAACGTTCCTATTCTAACAGCTGAAGGCAGTATAAAATCCTTATTCTGGAAAGAGAGATGTTTCTGGGGTGGGTCAGAGTTTTACACAGCATACAAGAGTTGCGCTGAAACTGCAGAAGCAAATCCACCGTTTGCCTAAATGACAAGCCCAGACGCCTCCAGCTCCTGTCACAAATGCCAGGGGAGGTCAGACAGGCTGACACCTGCGCAGCCCGACGCCAAAGCAGCAGCAGAGGCGATACCGCCGCAGGCAGCGGCGTCCTTACTTACAGCTTCCCTCAGCAGCTGCCTGAACCTACGCCGGGCCCGTCCCCCGCCTGCCAGCCCTCCTGAGGGGTCACCGCCGCCGCCGCCGTGCAGCCGGGCCACAGACCGGTGATATATAGGGACGGGGGGGGCTCCCGCCCCGGGCGGGGCCGCGGGCTCTCCCTCTGCCTTGCGCCATTTCGCAGAAACGATTTCGAGAGGGGCCTCGTAAACAAACACCGAGTCCCGTCCCGTCCCCGTGTGTCCCCGTCCCCTCCTCCCCCCCGCCCGGTGGCGGCCCCCACGTCACGCGTTCACACCCACCCCTGCGTCACGCACGCGAGTCCCGCGTGCCTGGCAC